TCAGGTATTTTAGCACTGCCACGCCTCACCCCCGCGCTTTCAATATCAAAACGCCGCGCCTCGTTCAGGTATTTTAGCACTGCCACGCCTCACCCTCTTAAACTCACACAGACACCCACACGTATACAAGCACGCATGTCCGGACGTAACAAACACACCACACTGAAACTGGGATTTCTCCCTTTCCCCAAGCCGCTCTATCGACTACGGGGAAACCTTCCCCCCCCTCCAGCTGCACAATCAGCGTCAGGGGAGAACCCCTCTCCCTCCCCAAGCTGCACAATCAGCGTCAGGGGAACCTCTCCTCCGCTGATCTGCTTGCAAGCCCCTTTGGCAAACCTGCGCACAAAAACGTCTTAATGCGACTTATCAGTGCCTTTCCTTAACAAAAGAAAAGAATACATACCGCTTTTGGTCCGCTTATCGACGGGCCGTGGTCTGCTCTCCGTAGTGTACAGCCGAGGCACAGAGTCCCTCCGGGGAAGTGCCCCACGGCGCCTGAGGGTGCCTGCCCTCAGCCGGACCCACAGATGAGCAGAGAAGTCCTGCCGCGGTTGCCAAATGAAGCAATACGTGGAATAAATAAATAGACTCCACAACTTAATATAGTTATGAAGTGGGTATGTATGCCAGCGCCCGGCACAAGTGAGATAGCTCTCCAAAATCTTGTGCTCCGAGCTGGAGTTTGTCCCACAATTTTATTCACAACGGTGTTCCATATGCAATACATTACACAACTTTTCTATGCATATTCAACCCCTGGCCCCGCCTGTCTTCGCCTCTCATGCTAAATAGGTCCACGCCCTTCTGGGCATGCATGGTTTTTTGTAGTGGTCTTTACAGGGTCGCCGGTGGTCTTTTGAGGCTGAAACCATAGCCTTCTTCTGCATTGAACTTTTGAACTCTTCTCCTCTGCGCATGCACTTTTCGCTTTCTGCTCTGTTATCTGGATAAGTCCATCCTTGACAGAGGGGCCTCCTTATCTGAGTTCTTTGCAATTCCTGGTCTTCTCTGGTATTTGTCTTTTTGCAAGAAGCTTTAAAGAATTATTTTTTTTTTTTATGTCTTTTGCGCCATGGCAGAGGTTTCTTAAAATTTATGATGATGATGATTCTACAAACATGATACATTCATTTTGATACATTCATTTTTGATACATTCATTTTGTTAGCTCAAGTAATCTCTGGAAAATCTCTTATTTCAATTATAAGAAATGTCATTTTCAGCTGCCTAGCACAAAAATAGGCCCCTATCCCTGCAGGTACGGCAGGCCTCAGGATGTGGTCCTGCAATACTTACTCAGGAATCAACACCTTTGTACTTGGTCCCCAGGTACCGAAGGAGAATGGCACAATATGGGCCCATTTAAGAGCTGGCAGGGCAGGCAAACCAGGAGACAAGTCTTTGCCTCTGTGAGCAGTGCCAAGAAAAAAATCCTGGCATGTGCAAGGCAACAGAAAACAGGAGAGAGAGCGTGGGAGGCACCTGTCATGTCAGCAAACAGCAAATGAAGGACTTTTGAGAGTTCTGAAAAGATCTTGTAGGAGAAACTTAACATATATAAGTATGTACTTCTATACCCACCTGAATAAAGGCTGTATGTCATTAGCCTCAACAAACAAGGAACGTTTGGCTACATAATTAAATAAATTATAGCTGATGATGAAAAGGAGTATTCTAGGGAAAGATGCCAACATTAAATAAGAATTTCCTTGGATGGAAAAGAATAACGAAGAAACATAAGAATATGCCATATGAAAAAGAAAGATTAAAATGAAAAAAAAAAGAAAAAAAAAAGGAAAATCATGGCAGTATGTGTAACGTGTGCATCCAGTCAGGGGTTGCTGGTTTTTTCTGCTGGTTCAGGCCAGGGCCCTGCTGCTGGCTGTTGACTGCCTGGGGATGCCT